AACAAAATCAGAACTAGTCTATAACAAAATCAACCTTAGTCCTGATCAAAATCAGCCTTAGTCTATAACAAAATCAGCCTTAGTCCTGATCAAAATTAGCCTTAGTCTATAACAAAATCAACCCTAGTCCTGATCAAAATTAGCCTTAGTCTATAACAAAATCAATCCTAGTCCTGATCAAAATCAGCCTTAGTCTATAACAAAATCAGCCTTAGTCCTGATCAAAATCAGCCTTAGTCAACAAAATCAGCCTTAGTCCTGATCAAAATCAGCCTTAGTCAACAAAATCAGCCTTAGTCCTGATCAAAATCAGCCTTAGTCAACAAAATCAGCTTTAGTCCTGATCAAAATCAGCCTTAGTCTATAACAAAATCAGCCTTAGTCCTGATCAAAATCAGCCTTAGTCTATAACAAAATCAGCCTTAGTCCTGATCAAAATCAGCCTTAGTCTATAGCAAAATCAACCCTAGTCCTGATCAAAACCAGCCTTAGTCTATAACAAAATCAACCCTAGTCCTGATCAAAATCAGCCTTAGTCTATAACAAAATCAACCCTAGTCCTGATCAAAATCAGCCTCAGTCCTGAACAAAAATCAGCCTCAGTCCTGAACAAAAATCAGCCTTAGTCATGAACAAAATCAGCCTTAGTCCTGAACAAAAATCAGCCTCAGTCCTGAACAAAAATCAGCCTTAGTCATGAACAAAATCAGCCTTAGTCATGAACAAAACAGCCTTAGTCCTGAAGAGAAGTTCAAAAAGTTGAGACCAAGTGTGACATAATTCACAAGATGACAAAAAGTTTAGAGGATATTTTAAAATTTCTTAATTAACAACAAATGAAACAAACACTGTTTTTGATGACATCATTATAGTCATGTCTTTCTTAATTGTCTTTATATCTCTTCATGCATAAATAGCAATTACTTCTGACGTAGCAATCATTACCTATAAAATTAATATTACAATAATTGTAAGTAAAAGCATGAAATAGAAACACAATGATAAAATCACACTAATCAAAAACATTAAAATAAACCATCATAGCATTCACAATCGAGTCACATAGGAGTCACAGTTATTCAGCCAAGTCACATACATTCAGCCGAGTCACATACATTCAGCCGTATTTATTTCATATCTTAACTCCTCTTCATGTCCACATTAAATATAATATGTTAAACTTAATAGCTCGTCCTGTTACAGGGGCATAGGAAAGGGGGTGTAGGAAGGGGGGTGAGGAGGGGCATCACGTATTCTAGCTAGGCCCCCATACAATTTTAAACATCATTATTTGCCTGAGGAGATGTCAGACATAGCTAACTCATCTCTTGCCTGGGGAGTTGTCAGTCATGGCTAACTCATCTCTTGCCTGGGGAGTTGTCAGTCATAGCTAACTCATCTCTTGCCTGAGGAGTTGTCAGTCATAGCTAACTCATCTCTTGCCTGGGGAGTTGTCAGTCACAGCTAACTCATCTCTTGCCTGAGGAGTTGTCAGTCATAGCTAACTCATATATTGCCTGGGGAGTTGTCAGTCATAGCTAACTCATCTCTTGCCTGGGGAGTTGTCAGTCATGGCTAACTCATCTCTTGCCTGAGGAGTTGTCAGTCATAGCTAACTCATCAATTGCTTGGGGAGTTGTCAGTCATAGCTAACTCATCTCTTGCCTGGGGAGTTGTCAGTCATGGCTAACAGTAGAGAACGGACCCCTCAACAGTCAGTACCGATTGAGTAGAGAACGGTGGGGAGTTGTCAGTCATGGCTAACTCATCTCTTGCCTGGGGAGTTGTCAGTCATGGCTAACTCATCTCTTGCCTGGGGAGTTGTCAGTCATGGCTAACTCATCTCTTGCCTGGGGAGTTGTCAGTCATGGCTAACTCATCTCTTGCCTGGTGAGTTGTCAGTCATAGGTAACTTATCTCTTGCCTGGGGAGTTGTCAGTCATAGGTAACTTATCTCTTTATCAATTTCATCAATTAGAATTTTGATGTATGGAACCAAGCCGATGTTAGATCACATTTTGATGTAGGGAACCAAGCCGATGTTAGATCACATTCTGATGTAGGGAACCGATGTTAGATCACTTTTGTTCTAAATTAAGCTGGAAACACTGCAAGTAATATATCTGTAAAGGTGACATAGTTGCAGGTGACAACAGATCCAGGTGACAATAGTTTCATGTCACACCAGTTTCAGGGGACAAAAGCTTACACTTACATACACTGACACATTTTAACCACTTTATTTTATTATTTCCAAAAAAAAGGAAAAAGCGGTACATTCAAGCATCATAATATATGATTTAAACCGGAGCCGGAATGATCAATACATTGATCGGGGGGGGGGGGAGCCCTTAAGATATAGAAAAAGAAAAAACCAATATGGAAATTAAAAAAATCTCAGTTTGTGCCGCAAAAGAATTGACTTGAAATTATCTTTAAAATTTCCTTTCATATTCAAGCATCATAATATATGATTTAAACCGGAGCCGGAATGATCAATACATTGATCGGGGGGGGGGGGAGCCCTTAAGATATAGAAAAAGAAGAAACCAATATTGAAATTTAAAAAATCTCAGTTTGTGCCGCAAAAGAATTGACTTGAAATTCTCTTTAAAATCTCCTTTCAACTCTTTTCAGTTTACACATAAGTGATCTTAAACCTCATGACAGCATTCATGAGTGAGCTCCCTTGATGATTGCGTGTATTTTGTCCAAGCTCTTCTCACAACAGTTGATAAAATCTCTGACGTTGCATTCTGGGAATGTTGTCACATTAAATCCAAGAAATCTGTCATCAACACCATAGCCTGTGGATCAGAGTTAGCCGTAACAAGTTATATCAAGCAATTATACCTTATTATATCAAGTAATATGTTATATCAAGCCAGGGGTCACCAAACTTTTTTCACAGTTGGCGGATAACTGACAAAATGATGAGCGCAGGCCGCATAATCAATCTGTACAATACTTTATTAATCCTGCAATCAAAGTTGTGTAAAATTATCACTAAAACAAGAGTAATTGCACGTGCCGCGATCAGCTGAATAGGGTCACAAAATGTGGAGGTGCAGTCCGTAGTAAAAAATATCAAACGAACTCACACTTTAAAAATGTAAAGCTCCAAAAGTTCTAAAGCTAGAAAGTGAATTCTGGTTTCATTTTTTTTTACATTTTGAAATTTGCTGTATATAACTAATATTTTTATTTTTTGGGAATTTTTATTTTTTACCGAAGTACTTAATTCTAAACATAATATTTAAATTGTATCACAATGTCTTGTGTTCCGTAAAGTTTTATCAAGCAAATTCAAGTACATGGTCCGGCCTAATGAACTGATGTGGCGGGCTATAGTTTGGTGACCTCTATGTTATGCAAATATACTTATACATTGGATAAAGTAATTACATGGTGGAATTCTGCTATCGCAATTAGTAGTAACAAGTTATATCAAGTAATTATACGTTTATCAAGTAATCATACATAATATCAAGTAATTATATGTCAGAATTCTGCTATGATGCCACTTGGTATAATGGGGTCTTGGCCCAGTTCCTCATATTTCATAAATTCATTGGCACATGGACAATGTTTTTTTTAAAGCACTTTAAAAATTAATTGATATTATTGTACAACACAATCACTAATCCACTAAAACTAAACTGCTAAAACTACTCCACTAAAAATAGTCCAACTTTAACAACACTTACCTCACAGACCACAAAAGATTAAAATAAGAATTTTAAAAATAAATTAATTTTGATAATTTTTTTAACCCACGAACTGTGGTCGGCCGAAAAAAATCAGCCAATATTTTCGTTATGTACTGTGGCGGCCGAAAAAAACCCATGGTCAATAGCAACTTCCAATCCAAGATTTAAACGGAATTATGGCCGCTTCCTTTTATTAATAATTAAATCATCTTCCGGGTCAAGCTGTTTGTTGATAACTTTGCAATAAGAACTTTTTAACCGCAATTTTATATCGCTGTTTTTTTTAAAGCTAAAATGGCTGATGCTATGGCTGGGGTCATTCAGTGCAAGAACTAATAGAAATATTTTTGAAAGCTTTTTAGGAGAGGATTTAAGTGATACTGATGATTATTTTAACATTCCCCATGATGATCTCAGTTCAGATTCTTCTTCTAGTGATTCTGATACTAGTCGTGGTGATACTGAAGTAGGCGTACTGTTAGACCAAGCCAGGCTTGGAGATTGGGCAAGGACAGACTGAATTTTAGTCACAGAAGCTACAGATTATAGACCAGAACTAATATATTTTATAGTTCAACAATCCAAATCAGTTCAACAGATCATTTTTTAAATGTTTACTAGTCAATAATAACTATTTTGCCTGAGATTTTGTATGTTGTACTTGGTTTTAGCTGTGGTCCAAGTTTCTTTTTTTTTTCAGTAATAAAAATTGCTTTCAGGGGCTTAACTGTAATCAAAACCTTAGCAAACTATACATTTTCTGAAAGATAAATAATTGGCTACCACATTTGTATTAGCATTTTAATGGAATCTATCAAAATTAAGGATGTTATGAGCACTGGAAACCAAGACATTTTGTCAATTTTTTCTCTTAGGCACTCCAAGGTCAAAGACACTGAAATTATTTTTTTTTACGGGTGGGCAATATAGCCAACTTTATCCCCATCCATTTACCTTTCTAAAAATATATTCTTATTGGGGTTTTGTATCAATATTTCTATGTCATTTAATGCCATTTCTAAAGGCACTCAAATAGCCATGAAAAGCTCCACACCACAGAATGATGCATGCCACAGTTCGTGGGTTAAAAATCCCGACTATTTTAACAAGGAATGTTGGAAAACTCTTCATTCAGGTGACCCAGGTGGAACCCAATTACAGCTTTATGGTGAGATGTCACTTTATTTATTATTTAAATATAATTTATATTCATAGATAAATGATGGAAAAAAATTAATTAATTAAATTAATTGACAAATATATTTCACAAGTCAATGCCACTCCAAACTCACCGATGCCGAAGCCATCAGACGTAACAGCAGCAAACCCACCAATCAGCACTGAGGGATCTGTCAGTGTTGATGTGCTCAGTATGATATGGTTGATATTGGCATAGGCTGGGTGGGCAAACATTGGCATGGACAGTCCATTCTTTTCTCCCAAGTTCTTCAAACAAAACAGGTGGCGATCAAATCCTTGACCTGAGTCCAAAAAAGCAAGTTGGAATGGTCAGTTACAACTGTGTCCAAGTTGGAATGGTCAGTTACAACTGTGTCCAAGTTGGAATGGTCGAATGGTCAGTTACAACTGTGTCCAAGTTGGAATGGTCAGCTACAACTGTGTCCAAGTTGGAATGGTCAGTTACAACTGTGTCCAAGTTGGAATGGTCAGTTACAACTGTGTCCAAGTTGGAATGGTCAGCTACAACTGTGTCCAAGTTGGAATGGTCAGTTACAACTGTGTCCAAGTTGGAATGGTCAGTTACAACTGTGTCCAAGTTGGAATGGTCAGTTACAACTGTGTAAAGGTTGGAATGGTCAGCTACAACTGTGTCCAAGTTGGAATGGTCAGTTACAACTGTGTCCAAGTTGGAATGGTCAGCTACAACTGTGTCCAAGTTGTAATGGTCAGTTACAACTGTGTCCAAGTTGGAATGGTCAGCTACAACTGTGTCCAAGTTGGAATGGTCAGTTACAACTGTGTCCAAGTTGGAATGGTCAGCTCCAACTGTGTCCAAGTTGGAATGGTCAGTTACAACTGTGTCCAAGTTGGAACGGTCAGTTACAACTGTGTCCAAGTTGGAATGGTCAGCTACAACTGTGTCCAAGTTGGAATCGTCAGTTACAACTGTGTCCAAGTTGGAATGGTCAGCTACAACTGTGTCCAAGTTGGAATGGTCAGTTACAACTGTGTCCAAGTTGGAATGGTCAGTTACAACTGTGTCCAAGTTGGAATGGTCAGTTACAACTGTGTCCAAGTTGGAATGGTCAGTTACAACTGTGTCCAAGTTGGAATGGTCAGTTACAACTGTGTCCAAGTTGGAATGGTCAGTTACAACTGTGTCCAAGTTGGAATGGTCAGTTACAACTGTGTCCAAGTTGGAATGGTCAGTTACAACTGTGTCCAAGTTGGAATGGTCAGTTACAACTGTGTCCAAGTTGGAATGGTCAGTTACAACTGTGTCCAAGTTGGAATGGTCAGTTACAACTGTGTCCAAGTTGGAATGGTCAGTTACAACTGTGTCCAAGTTGGAATGGTCAGTTACAACTGTGTCCAAGTTGGAATGGTCAGTTACAACTGTGTCCAAGTTGGAATGGTCAGTTACAACTGTGTCCAAGTTGGAATGGTCAGTTACAACTGTGTCCAAGTTGGAATGGTCAGTTACAACTGTGTCCAAGTTGGAATGGTCAGTTACAACTGTGTCCAAGTTGGAATGGTCAGTTACAACTGTGTCCAAGTTGGAATGGTCAGTTACAACTGTGTCCAAGTTGGAATGGTCAGTTACAACTGTGTCCAAGTTGGAATGGTCAGTTACAACTGTGTCCAAGTTGGAATGGTCAGTTACAACTGTGTCCAAGTTGGAATGGTCAGTTACAACTGTGTCCAAGTTGGAATGGTCAGTTATTACTGTGTCCAAGTTGGAATGGTCAGTTACAACTGTGTCCAAGTTGGAATGGTCAGTTACAACTGTGTCCAAGTTGGAATGGTCAGTTACAACTGTGTCCAAGTTGGAATGGTCAGTTGCAACTGTGTCCAAGTTGGAATGGTCAGTTACAACTGTGTCCAAGTTGGAATGGTCAGTTACAACTGTGTCAACTAGAGAGTTATAACGTTGGAATGGTCAGTTACAACTGTGTCAACTAGAGAGTTATAACGTTGGAATGGTCAGTTACAACTGTGTCAACTAGAGAGTTATAACAATTCTAAAATACCTACATAACCTATTATAATATACCTACACACCTAATCTAATACATCTACACCTATGTTAAATTATTATTATATTTAGCAGCTTAAAAAAATATTTTAAAAATATAAATAAATTGGAAAAGCAGAGTTACTTTCCTATGTTTGAGAATTTGCCCAGTTGTAGGGAATGAGTTGATAAAATAAGACATATAAGAACTTACTTTTAGGAAGGAAAATGATTAAAAAAATTGTTTAAAATTAAATTAACCTTGAATATAAAAAAATAGATCTTAATATCCCTAAAAGTATTACAACTTTAAGTATTACAACTTTAAGTATTACAAAATCTGTGTAAATTTCTGTTACCCATGGCTGCCTCCTTTGTGAGCTGGTTGTGGACAGTTGTACAGTTTCTCAAACCCTCCATGAGCTCGGCAGCACTGGTGGCTTTCTTTGTTTTACCATACAAGTTTTCACACATGGATTTTGTCGCCGATGTGCACGGTCTCACAGTCTCTGTTCTTCCTTTCTTGAAGGCAGAAGTGCTGCATGATTCATATGTGCCAACATTTTCTCCATACATCTGGTAGTGGGCCAGCTACAGTTGGCGAGATCAACATTTAGTTCATATAGTTCATTCATTCATTCAAATATTAATTTTTGATAAATGTGCATATGTGCTATAATATTTATGATGGGTTGTGGGTTCAGAGAATGTATATCGAAGACCTGCAGTGGGGTCAGAGAATGTCTACCTTTGATGGGAAGTGGGGTCAGAGAATTTATATCTATGACAGCAAGTGGATTCAGAGAATGTATACCTGTGATGGTTAATGGGGTACAAGAATATATAACTGTGATGGGTAATGGGGTACAATAATGTATAGCTAGAATTATTAATGGGGTCAATGACTGTATATATTCAATGGGTAGTGAGATCAGAGAATGTTGGGTGGTGGAGTCAATGTCTGCCTATGATGGGTAGTGAGATCAGAAAATGTTGGGTGGTGGAGTCAATGTCTGCCTGTGAGGGGTAGTGAGATCAGAGAATGTTGGGTGGTGGAGTCAATGTCTGCCTGTGATGGGTAGTGAGATCAGAGAATGTTGGGTGGTGGAGTCAATGTCTGCCTATGAGGGGTAGTGAGATCAGAGAATGTTGGGTGGTGGCGTCAATGTCTGCCTATGAGGGGTAGTGAGATCAGAGAATGTTGGGTGGTGGAGTCAATGTCTGCCTGTGATGGGTAGTGAGATCAGAGAATGTTGGGTGGTGGAGTCAATGTCTGCCTATGATGGGTAGTGAGATCAGAGAATGTTGGGTGGTGGAGTCAATGTCTGCCTGTGAGGGGTAGTGAGATCAGAGAATGTTGGGAGGTGGGGTCAATGTCTGCCTATGAGGGGTAGTGAGATCAGAGAATGTTGAGTGGTGGAGTCAATGTCTGCCTATGATGGGTAGTGAGATCAGAGAATGTTGGGTGGTGGAGTCAATGTCTGCCTGTGATGGGTAGTGAGATCAGAGAATGTTGGGTGGTGGAGTCAATGTCTGCCTGTGATGGGTAGTGAGATCAGAGAATGTTGGGTGGTGGAGTCAATGTCTGCCTATGATGGGTAGTGAGATCAGAGAATGGTGGGTGGTGGAGTCAATGTCTGCCTATGAGGGGTATTGAGATCAGAGAATGTTGCATGGTGGAGTCAATGTCTGCCTATGAGGGGTAGTGAGATCAGAGAATGTTGGGAGGTGGGGTCAATGTCTGCCTATGAGGGGTAGTGAGATCAGGCAATGTTTACCTGTGATGGGTGGTAGATTCAGAGAATGTATGCCTATTATGGGTTAAGTCTAATATCTAAGGATGATACCATCAACGTTGGTTGTTTAAAGTATGAATACCGATAGAAATATCAAGAATACATAATTTTTTTAAAATGGACAACTCCCTTTTCTCAGTAGTAAACAAATCTGCAAAGTGAATGGGTAAAGATTTTTATACAGTAAGTGTATTGTATGTAGGTATTTTAGAAAAGATATTATGATGTAGGTGTATTAATTTAGTTATATAGGTATATTAGCATGTAGGTATAGAAGAACAGGTATTTTAGACTGTGTGTGTGTAGGTAGGTAGGCCTACATTTGATTATGTAGATATGTAGGTTGTTGAGATGAGATTTGAAAATCAGGGGAAAAGGAAGAAACACTATGAGAACCTGTATAGCCAGTTGCATGACAGAATCTGGGCTCAGTTTGGCGTTTTTTAAATCCTTCTTGGTCATCTTAGAATACTGCAGATGATGAATGTCCAGAGAACTAGTGGCGTCATCAAACCTTTGCTTTGCTTTAGTGATAGTTTCCTTAATGAATGGGTCCAACCTGAAATCTAAAGGAACATGCGCCCTCAAACTATTGTAATGTTGGGCTTAGTGGAACATTTGAACAGTACTCTGATGTTCAAGACTAAAGTCAATGTAGAATCAATTCATACTAAACAAATTTAACTTTAAATATTTGTGTACAACTTGTTGCCATTGATATAGTTGACTGGAAGTACTACTATTTGACCTAGTCCTGGAAGTACAACTATTTGACCTAGTCCTGTAAGGTACTACTGTCTTACCTAGTCGCTGCACTCTTTTCTCTGAATTGACTTTTTCTGAAGGCCTAGTGTCTGGACTAACTCTGCTATTTTGTATAGAATCTGAGAAGACTTCTTTAAAGTACCGCAGTACTGCGACCCCATCGCCCCAGGAATGTTCGAAATTGACTGCTGCTGTCCCGCCTTTTGAGATGATGAGTTGGAAGCTTTTGTCAAACCATCTGGAGAAAATTGACACATAGAGACATCAGATGCAGAGAAATGAGAGATTATGTTAAAGAGACTTCAGGAAAGGAGTGCTCTCTATTGAAGCTATTGCGCCTAAATTGTGGAAAAGTTTGCCTCAACCTTTGAGGGGAATGGAAATTTATAAAACACCATTAAGAAACATTTAAAGACTTTTTTCTTTAAATAGATTTGAGGACATCAGAGCGCTGTGAGCATGCTAAAATAGCATGGAAACAAGCGTTATAAAATCAATCAATCAATCGTGTCAAAGGGAATTCATATACAGAGGATGTGATACAACAGTACAAGGCTGCCAGACAGAAACATTTTAAACTCCATCTCAATACAAATATCATGTTCATAAAACTCATTCATTAAAAAGAAATTGTTTTTTTTTTTTTTTTTACTTTGTACTGCGCTTCGAGCCTTTGGGGATGAAGCGTGTTTTTGAAATAAACTTTATTATTATTTTTTTTATATAACCTGTTTACTCCATCTCCAAATAGAAATTTCCTGGAGATTCCTTTGGGCTCTGTTGGCTGGTCTAAACTCATTTATTAAAAAGAAATTTTTTTTTTTTTTTTTTTACTTTGTACTGCGCTTCGAGCCTTTGGGGATGAAGCGTGTTTTTGAAATAAACTTTATTATTATTTTTATTATATAACCTGTTTACTCCATCTCCAAATAGAAATTTCCTGGAGATTCCATTGGGCTCTGTTGGCTGGTCATCGTCCAGGCACAGGGCAAAGATGGCCTTCTCAAGTACACGTAGTCTACTTTCATTCCTGGGATCTGGAAGTCATATTTAGGTAACTGTTAATCTAATCCTTATACTGGCACTAGAGACATTCTCTGAATATAACACTCTTCAATATGGTGTCCACAAATCTGGGAAACCATCTTAAATAATTCTTGGAAAACGTCTTTGAGGTACAGCAGGACCATGACAAATCCTGAACATTAAATTAACTGCACTCTTATTTTGACCTTTTCAAAGTGGTCTTTTGAGTCAGTCACAAAAGAAACACACCAAAAGACTGAAACAAACATGATTAGAGCTGATGTCAGGATCTAGTGAATCAAGATTTGTGGAATCTTGAAAGTAAAAAAACAGGACTGTTATAGCCTGTGTGCTGACCTAGGTTTTATTAACCTCACGTCCCCTCTCCCTGTTTCTGATTGGATATCGCCATCACCCCCTCCCCCCCCCCCTTGATTGGGAGGGGGTTGTTTACATTAGAATCTGTACCTATGTTCTAATTATTTTTTCTAAAGAATGCGTTCAGGTGATGTCATTTCTCGACTTTCTTTTCTAGAAGGTTCAAACTTTCTCCCTACAAATAAGCTGGCAACTTGCCTAGCAGAAGGAGAGATTTTTTAAAATTTTCCTAAACGTTTAAGAGATTTTTTTTTTTGCTGGCATCCGTCCGTCACAATCTACAAGGCCTGGGATTATTCTTCTAGGATTATAAGCTGGTTCCCAAAAGCAAATCGCCTCTCTCCACGCCACTGTATAACCCAAGGGAACATCATTGGATGATACAGCTTGGCACCAGTGGCGTCGCAGCAGTTGTCAGAATGTTTCATTGTAACAATTTTATCCGCCTATGGGACTCCATCTCTGGGTTTGAATTCAGAGTTTCCTTCTCTTAGATGAGTTGCCACCCAAGGTTAATGGGTCCCATCCACTCGGAGTGATGGTGATGTTTTTGCATGACTGGTCTCTGGCTGGAACTGAACTCAGGACCACCAACTTGAGATTTGCTCAGTTTAGATCACTCGGCCACCCAGAACCCTCAAGAGATATATTTACAAAATTGTACTCATTATGTGTAAATGTAAATTATTAACAACTCTTATTCTGAGCTTGGTATAATCTAGTGTTATGGTATAGTAGGTACAAATTGCAATATGTACATTTTAATCTTTACTACCAGCAATGATGTTGTAATCTGATAAAGCTATCTACCTACCAGCATTGACCAGCTGTACCTACCAGCATTGACCAGCTGTACCTACCAGCATTGACCAGCTGTACCTACCAGCTGTACCTACCAACATTGACCAGCTGTACCTACCAGCTGTACCTACCAGCATTGATCAGCTGTACTCTGGCCCTTGTCCAAACATCTCTGTACTCTGTGGTTAAAACTGACACGGGGAATTCAGGAGCTGGCGTCGGATCTTCCAAGATGTATTTCAAGTGTGAAAGAACTTCGGTTTCTGGGATTATATTACCTGTAAACATTAAAAACAAAAGATGTGTACTGCACCTTTAGGAAACAAACCAGACCACTCCGTAGCCCCATTTGATGATCAAATCATTCATTCATATTTTGTGTTTCATTTTTTAAAAATAGCATTTTAAAAATGCATATTCCATAAAATCAAATAAGTGAATATTGACCAGTCGTTAAAAGATCAAAAACTGCCTTTTAAAAACAAAATTATAAATCAATAAAAGGGAGGTAAATATTTGTTGTCAGACATTATTGAATGTTGTTTATTTTAAGTTAGACTTGAGGGTATTTCTTAAACCAAATGCCATCATGACTTCATTTAGACTTGATGGTATTTCTTAAACCAGATGCCATCATGACTTCATTTAGACTTGAGGGTATTTCTTAAAACAAATGCCATCATGACTTCATTTAGACTTGAGGGTATTTCTTAACCCAAAGCCATCATGACATCATTTAGACTTGAGGGTATTTCTTAAACCAAATGCCATCATGACTTCAAGGCTCAACTCACCATCCTTGTCCAGCATGTCAAAGATGTAGAAGTGACCTTTTCTCATGACAAGAATGTGTTTAGAGTTGGGGTCAGAAATCAGTTCATCTCTTTCTGGCCTGTACAGGACACCAAAGAAACCATTTAATCAATCTTATTGAACTGATCCTAAGGACTGTCACTACATGAGATAGTTGAACAAATCCTAGGAACTGTCACTACATGAGATAGTTGAACAAATCCTAGGAACTGTCACTACATGAGATAGTTGAACAAATCCTAAGAACTGTCACTACATGAGATAGTTGAACAAATCCTAGGAACTGTCACTACATTAAATGGTTGAACTAATCCTAAGAACTGTCACTACATTAGTCTTGCCTTCATGGTTGAACTGATCCTAAGGACTGTCACTCCATTAGTTACATTAGTTACTATTTAATAACAATGCAATGGAAATAATCCAAAAGCTTTTCTCTTTGTTTTTCACTTGATTATGCTGAATATAAATTTGTACAATGTAATTGAAAATACATTTTTATTTATTGAGATCATGAAAAGAATCCTTTTAAATCTTATGTGTGAAAGCTAATAGATCAGATACAATAATTCTAAAGACTATAATGAACGATGTGAAAAATTGTGTTACCTTGGAACACGACAGGAGTTGAACAGGTTTTTGTACTGGCTCATGTCCAAGGGAAAGGCTTTAAACAAATACGCACCATACCAAGAGAGAGAGGATGGCAGGAGGCTGAAAGGTGTTCAGTAAATTTGAAGATTTATCAGTGGCTTCTCTATCAATGACCTTACTCAAACAAAGATAGTTTCTATCAACTTATCCTTTTAACCAATCTTTGAAATATCAACTTATCCTTTTAACCAATCTTGTAACTATCAACTTATCCTTTTAACCAATCTTTGAACAATCAGCTTATCCTTTTAACCAATCTTTGAACAATCTACTTATTCTTTTAACCAATGTTTGAACTATCAACTTATACCTTTAACCAATCTTTGAACTATCAACATATTCTTTTAACCAATCTTTGAACTATCAACATATTCTTTTAACCAATCTTTGAAGGAAAGATGTAAGTCAGCAATAACGTAACAATTTAAAAATGTTTTTACTTTTTTTTCTTCTTAATATTCACATTTAAATTATTCAATTTTTCATTTAGCAAAAGAGATATATTTTTTTTAAAATCACTATTATACAGCACATTATAGATTTGCTAAATATGACAATATCAGGTCAGGTTGACTTTAATCAGATATGACAATATCAGGTGAGCTTGACTTAACCAATTGATTTATATATTATCATGCTTAATTTGGCTGGCATTTTGCACCATATAATGCTGGGTCTGAATGTACCACACACTTCAAATTATTAACTTTTTTTTAAAATACAAAGGTAATGGTAAAAAAATAATTAAAAAGCACATAACTAGAAGTAGAACTTTTGATAATGCTGTAACTAGATCTTTTGGTACAGCTGTTATCTAGAACTATTGGTACGTCTGTTTACTAGAACTAATGGTACAGCTGGTAGAATTAAAACAAGGAAGTACAAACCTTGTAACTGTTCGAAATGTTTTTGTGTTTGATTTTGCTGGATTCAAATGGAAGACTTCTGGCTCCAGTTTCTCATCTCTTAAAGTTTTCATGAAGCGAACAGATGAGATGAGCATGTTAGAAGCGCGGATTAGCTAAAACAGAATCAATGTCAATAAAGTAAAGAGAACGAATCATGTAAAAATTAAAATTTTTAAATGATAGTTTTAATCAGGACGTTGAAATCAAGTACCGGTAGTTGATAAGACCAGTGGCCATCATATCAATGGGTTCCATTTTATCACATTAATTAAAAGTAATGTATTTATTAAGACAACATGCCAATTGCAAGATGAACCCTCTACTTGCCTGGGTATTGTATTCAGCTCGAGGGTCATCATTAAATGTGATAAAAGGATTGTGTGTCAGGACCACAGGTCGTCTGTCTTTCAGGTACATGTCAAACCAAAGATCTAACAACACAAAGAAATGATACAAAATATAACAATAGGAATCACAAATATAAAAAAAAATTAAAGTCAATAATCAGCTTTAGAACACAGTTGCGTGACAATGATATTAACAACCAAATGGAAATTTTGAATACCTGAGACATAATTGGTGTCTTTGGCTTTCTTGTCAGTCTCAACCAATTCCTTTTGAAGATCTGTTATGGAAATGTACAAATAATTCTACATGACATTTGTGTGTGTGTGTGGATCTACGGTATCTCTTATCTAAAAATGAAGTTAGAGAATTTCTGAGATGGAAATAGAATTAATGTAATGAAAATTTCAGTCAAACTTCTCAGGCACTTGAACAGATCTCTTTCACAACTTTGCAGTAGAGCAAAGTGAGCCAAAAACAAAGCCTTATGTTTTTTGTATTTCATTCATGATATCACGTTTAGCAGTTTAGGAGAAAATGTTCAAAGAGATAATATTACCCTTTCCTTGTCCATTTTGAAATTCACCAACAACTTTCTGCAATTCTTTGTGCTGGGCATCAGACAATAATGGAAGTTGGGCATTTAAATATCTCTGGCAAGACTTGTCTAGTTCTGGGATAGGTAACCTAGGAAGACTGGCTTGGAAATGATATGTGGGGATCTTGCTTTTGTGAAGGTATTCTCGCTCGTCATTGCTAAACACAGTAAAATTTTATAAATTAAACAAATATCAAATTTTTTTTTTCATTTAAGATTTGTTCCTGAAGCTGTAGTCCATATATATGACTAAAACGGGGGTTTTTATGGTAAATTTTAAAAATTGTATATTGCAATAATGCACTATATATCATCTAGCACTCAATAATAAACCTTATAGTATAGCTGTTTTAAAATTGTATAAAGGGCATAAACATCTGAGAAAAAAGCTAAGCCAGGTAGACAATACAGTACAATCAAATACTTGGCATGTATGCTTAACATAATGTTAGACAAAATCTAGATTCACACAAATAAACTTACCTGTATACAACAGTTGATGTTTGCAAAAGCCTCCGGAGCCCCTGTTTGGAAGATAGTGTGCAATTAAAAACTTATTGTAAAACTCTTTTTTAAACACCTTTCAACAATGTCTGATATATTGATAGCCTTAGAATTAATGACAATAATTACAGCAGCTTTACTTTCAAGAGTCTATGTCCTTTTTAGATCAATTATAAATTAGTTATATATTCATATATATGTTCAGATTTAAGTCTCCCATTGAGTCTGAAAGATACCGGTTGTATATTGTTCTGTCAAGCCAATTAAAACACACCAAAAAAAAAATTAATTAAAGTCTTACAGTGAAAATTACAAGCTGATAACTGTGGACACATGGAGGAAAACTCCATAAAGTTGCAGTTTTGACTCCATTAAGTCTGACCCATTTGAAATTAAAATGCAGATGAGCTAGAAAGTTCATCAACTTGGTCTTGATCACTGTGGTGGTGGTGTTGTATTGTACTTGTATGCTTACTGACAGTGACAGTTAGCATCTCAAGATTATGGCTATCATTGTCTATGGCTACTCTTGATACTCTGTAGTAGCCAACTACACAATAGTGATAAGAAGTATAGCACACATTGGTAGAGGTAAATCTGAAGATAAACGAAACTTAGAACGACCGTATTCCAAAGGTCCTGCTAAACAAAGAATTGTCAGAGGTGGGTTAGACATTTTTGACAGCAGCGCTTTAAAGACATGTGTAAAAGAAACAGGAAGTAAATCAACATCATAATTGGCAATTAACAGAGTATCCTTGTTCCAGCTGATGAACAGCAGTGAATTTGATAATCCAACAGGCAGAGGATGCGTGAAGTCTTTGTTCTTACTAGTAGCAAAAAGAGGAATACAGAACGGGAAGAACAAAAAAACAACAAAAAACCAGAAGTCATCCTTCCTTAAAAATGCATCAAGACTGTCACTCCAGGTCTCTTAACAATTGTCTCACTTAAACAGAAGGATGCCAATAAACTAGGCTAAGTAATACAAATACTACTTACAGCATATAAGAGCAATATTAGCGCATGTCTATTTATTAAAATATTTACTAAATTAGGCCATACAACATTAATAACATTAGCAAAATCATCCATTTTAAAAACAAATTTAATTAACTGAACTTAATATATTCCAGAACTTAATCTATTCCTGTTTCAGTTCAATATTTTGAGTTGCTAGTCAATTTTTAAAATAATAGAAACTTGATTAATTTGTTCCTGGATTCCAAAAAACTCTTTGGATCCCAGTCACTGACAGTCCTCTTCTTGACACACCCTCTACATACTTTAAACTCCTCCTCTGAGCACTAATATTTGGTATGCCTTTCACTAAATCATTGTGGAGGACCTTGAATTCTCACAAATTGTTATCTCAGAAATCACATCACTAGCCAGATGTTTTTCATTTTAATCTGTTTTAAGAGGAGTGTTTTCATATTCATATCTTCCATATTGACTCTTTGAAGTCAGTGTTACAACCTCTTTTGCCACATTAGCTGCTTTGACAGCTTCTTAATTTTTCAAAATAATACAAACTATCCATTTATTAGTCATCCCGAGCATAGATGCAAGATCAGTGACATGTGTACCCATTCCCTGCTCAGTGATAAGATTAAGATCTTTCTTAATTTCAATGGTAGCTCTAGCAGCTGACCTCTTACTTTTATTTTATCGAACTAAACTGTTCAGGAACCATGGCTAATACTAATACTAATAGTACTTTACTATTATACAATACTAAGTTGTTATTCAAAAAAAAAAAAGGTTGGTATACAAAATAGATGAAATCAAAGAGGACAAAATGCATAAAATTACCAGTAAAAGTCACAAGAGATGCCTTCCCTACAGTCTACAGGTTCCAACAACTAACTGAATGATAAGGCATATGAATATGAGAATGCGTAGCTCGAGCCCTGAGAAAGGTACACACACAAACAACGATAAACACTATACAGGCTGGGCATTCGGATAAATAAACTTAAACATATCTGTGATTTAATAAGTATAAGTATTCGAATTTTAAGCGAAAATGTTCTAGAAATTTTCATTGGGATTTCAAGACTAAGTTCCAGGGCTTTTTTTGGATTCCGTCCTGCCTACTGTATTTATAAATTAAATTATTATAGGCTATATGCCCAGCCTTGGCAGGAGCTAGGCCGCCTTTGCCTACAGCCTACGTGACATACCCTAAACAAAAAACATAGTGAAAATAGTGTAACTACTGTAACATAACACATTCATATCATATGATATATATCTGTAATATAAATATATAAAAATTTCTATTACATTACTATTACACATTATAATTGGCCGACTGAAACTGTAATTAAAATGATTCAAATATAAAATATAATATATTTCAAATCGCAACATACAAATCCTATAGTAATCTGAGACGGTTTTTTGAGAAACATTTTTGTCATCTGGACTTTCCTGCCATTAGCTAGTATCAGATAGCAATGGACTTTGGACGATAAGAAACCGGGATTGACAACAAATAGAGAAAAAATCTTTCTAAATTGGAAGTGCACAATAATAAACGTATCTGCTAGTGTAATGGCATTTTGAAAACGTTGTTGTTTAATTGATTTTATAATTCTTGATTCTTTATATTGTTTCGCATTTATTTATTTTAAATAAAATCTTTCAAAGTTAATAGTAATGTATTTTATTTTTGGATTTTTTTTTTTTTGCTGTCATTAGTGTTATTTTAAATTATCAGGACTTCGGCGGTGGATAAAAAAAAATTAGACTCCAAGATACTTTCTAGAGTCCCATTTTGTGAAAAAAAGAAATTCTTTAGTTATCTAAATCTAAAAGTTTGTTCTAACTTCTAATCCTGCAAATTAGTAATTACAAGCAAGCCTGTGTGGCACAGGCCTAATTAAAGTTATTTTTTAAAATTTTAAAAGGTATTTTATTACAAATCTTAATTGTTAAGTTAATGTAACATTCTTATTCAAATACTTAGCCTACGTATCTTACTTTTAGTCTTAAACTTATTTTTGTTATATAATTACAATTTTAAAAAAATAAAATTTTTGACATAACATTCTTGTTTAAAATTGAGAATATATAATATAAATTAGTCTTTAAAGATTTTATTAAAAGACATCACATAATCATAAATTAATAAGATTTAAACAACATCATCATAGTAATTATATTTTTATTAGGATATAGAAAAGCAGTTTACACAGACATTATTTAATTTTATTTGAAAACACTTATACTTTTAAACCAATATCACCTGTACACAACATTTGAATAATATTGAAAAGAAAGAAGAAATTGTGTAGATTCAGGCTTATGATAAAGTTTTATTTCTAGGTTTCTTTCAGGTATATGAGAAAATTTTCTAATTCTATTGATGATCTTTGTGGAATTTCTTTCACTTCCAGTTTCCATTGACAATAAGGGCAATAAGGTACATAGACTTATGGACATAGATGACAAAGTTTATGAAGGAGAGATTTAGGATTCATCAAAAAGATTAAGAAGTCTGTAGAGGAGTCTCAATAGAAAATGACAGGCAGAACATTCCTATTATCTTTTAAAATTTAATCACATACCAGTACTGGTATGCTCATATCAGTCTTATGGGTGATTTAAGTAGTTTTTATAACAATAATAATAATAATAAGGGGTCTTATATAGTTTTTATCTAATTATTGCATTCAATTTTATATTAAAAAGACTTCTACTTATCTTTTATAAATATAAGAATTGATTTAAATATAACTGAATCATACATTTAATTAAAATGCAAAAAACATGTTTGTTTTGGTCTTTGCAAATAATATTTTTTCCTATTTTTCTGTTCATTATATTTTTGACATACCCTCAAATAAAATTAACCAAAATAAAAAGTCTTGAAGTAATTGAAACTTTTTGCTGTTCTTAGTGTTGTATATTAGATTTTCAATGTCTCCTGAAAAATTTGTGCAATTATCTTTAAAAACAAAATTGTGGGCGAAATAATGCAGGAATTTGACATTTGAGTCACATGTTTTTTGGGTAAAATATATAGATTATACAAGTAAAAGGGCTTAAAAAATTCAAAAGAAACAAGGATCATAACTTCACTTCTATTTCTATCAAAGATAGAAAGTTGAAAGTGATGTTTTTAGAAACTTATAGCCAGCCTTTAAATATGATATATCTTTTACGGCTATCAAACAATATTAACATTTTTGGTCAAAGTACCTATTTATGATTCATGATCTTTATCATGAATCATTTAAATTGTAATGGGGGGGAGAAGATATTTTCCTTCTAGAACTGAAAAGGTGGCGCACTTTGATATGGAGTATCTTAGCTACACTAGATATAGCAATAATAATCTAATATCTCTTGGGACATTATGCATCATATTCTTTTTAGATCTTCTTAAATTCAAAGAGAGGTCCACTGGGAGCACGTTAACAATATGTGCAACCAGACAAACAAGATCCTATGGTTCCTAAGGCAAAAATATAAGTATCGATAACTCCAGCATGAAGCCTTTGTCTGTCCGCTTTTAGATTACGCATCTTCAGTTTGGGACCCATTCACCCAGAAGAGCATCGATAAGTTGAAGCGGTCCAGCGATGGGCAGCATGCTTTGTTCTGAACCGCTACAGGAACACCTTAAGTGTTAGCAGCATGCAGGGAACACTGGGCTGGTCACCATTGGAGGAATGACGACCACTATCCAGGCTCTCCATGATGCACAAAATAAATAATTTGCTCATCCACTGCTGCAGCTTTAAACAGAAACTTGTCCCTCTCCCCCATAAACAGCGACGAGGCCATGACAGGCAGTTCCGGCTCATACCAGCAAGAAGCCAGTATAGGAACTGCTCATTCCTGCCAAAGACAATCAGGGACTGAAACAAGCTTCCAAAAGCAACAGTTGAGGTGACAACACTTGACACATTTGTGTTTATTGCCTCCTGTCTATGCTCTTTCTTTTACACAGGAGTTGCCAATCTTTAGGTTAAGCTTTAAGAACCCCAGGGTCTTGTTTGCTTGGTTACATACATTGTTAATATGCTCGTCCCAGCGGACCTCTCTTTGAATGGTAACACCCAGGGACTTTACTGAGGAAACTGTCACATGTATATGGCCATGCAGTTTGTATTGGTAGTGTAGAGGAGTACAACTTCTAGAGACTGATAGTGTCTGGCACTTGGAGGGTGATATTTCATGTCCCAGCTCATCTCCCACTCAGCTAACCGATTGAGATCCTGTTGTAGCTGGTCCTGGTCAGATCTGTTGGCGATCGTCCTATACACTGTGGTGTCATCTGCGAACTGTCTTGCTTGGGATGTCAGTTTCTTGGGTAGGTCATTTATGTATGCTAGGAACAATCAGGGGCCTAACACTGATCCCTGGGGGACCCCTGACTTCACATTCACAAAGGAGGAGCTTGTACCGTCCACCTATAATGCTTGACATCGGTGGCTGAGGAAGCTAGAGATCCATGTTTTAGTAGTGCCTTGGATCCCATACATCTGGAGTTCATAATACCATTCTGAGTAGCCCTTGCAACCAGTGAAGTATCTTCTTCAAAATCATGCAGTTACATCGCCAACCCCTCTGATATATAGGAGCCAGAATGATCAGTACATTGATCGTGGGCCCTCAAATATAGAAGAAGCAGAATCCTATTATTTCAAACTTCTAAAGTCCTGTGAATATGTAAACCTTAACAGTTTTTATGCTCCACTCAGTTGGCTTCTCATTGAGACATCTTTTTATGCTCCACTCAGTTGGCTTCTCATTGAGACAGTTTTTATGCTCCACTCAGTTGGCTTCTCATTGAGACAGTTTTTATGCTCCACTCAGTTGGCTTCTCATTGAGACAGTTTTTATGCTCCACTCAGTTGGCTTCTCATTGAGACATCTTTTTATGCTCCACTCAGTTGGCTTCTCATTGAGACATCTTTTTATGCTCCACTCAGTTGGCTTCTCATTGAGACATCTTTTTTTATCTTAGCTGCTGTCTTAATATTTTAATAAATAAAAATCTTTATGTGAAACATAAGTAAACATACTTAATGACATTGAAGCTTTTAATTTTAGATATTCCAGCTAATAATATTACAAATTTAAAGAAAATAATTTGATAAATTGTCATTAGTCATTTCGATGACTGTTCACCTACTCCCTACAATGTGACTTTTTTAAATAACAAAGATAGTTAATAAAGACTTGCATCCATTTTTTCAAGACAAACTTTAAAAAGTTGTATATATTCAATTTTATTTTCAGACAAAATTTAATAATTCATAATAAAATGAGACATGATAAGTATAAGAAAGAAAAATTCACAAGTAGAAAAATTAATGTCAAGCATTAGAAATGTTGAAAAATTGCTAACATAATAATAGAATTGACTATAATATAGCAACCCTTCACATTATTTCTCTTGATTTGTACAAAACAAAATAAAAAAAAGACAGAGTTAGCTATATCAAAACAGATTTGTACAAGTATGAGTAACAGTAATGGGTAATATAAGGCATAGTTAAACTATAAATATACAAACAAATTTAATCAGTTCAAATTTCAATAAAAGATAAGGAACAAATTGAACCTACATATTTGAAGAGTGAAAAAATAAAATCTACCAATATAATTATTATGGTGAAGTTTCTGTAACCTCAATTAAGGTAAGCCTTCGTCTTTAAGGTCTATTAAACACATTTTTTGAGCCTTGAAAAACAGCTTATAATCTGCCGTATTAACAAGTTAATTGTTTGTTAGGCATCAGCAAGTGTTTAATTCCAATAAAGCTGGTCATTTAGGTGTGCACTGGACCATTTAGGTGTGCACTGGACCATTTAGGTGTGCACTGGTCATTTAGGTGTGCACTGGTCATTTAGGTGTGCACTGGACCATTTAGGTGTGCACTGGACAGTTTTTTTTTAAAAAATCAATTATCTCTATTTGGAGTGGACTGTATGTTTCTTTCCTACAAAATTGCCTGTCTGTTGACCTTAGGGACGCACTGGATTGATTTTCGTTTTGTTCACTAATCAGAATATACAAATAGAGGCCCAACAGGGAAACAAAAGGATAGCTGATGAGAAATTGAGTGGAAGGCAATAAACAGTGAAATGGAGAGTATGTTTGCTGTTGATAAATCTTTTTAAAAAGGAAACTCTGTTTATGAAAAACAATTTGGCAACACAAACACTCAACTGATAATGATATTCGGTGCATTCCCAAAGTCTCTACTCTCTAATTCAAATCTTTTTTATTTGATTATGCTCCAAAAGAACAAAACACATTATCTAAATTAAAAACAAAAAATACTAAAACATTTTTGGAATTCTACAAATATTAGCTCCAATAAGTTGTTGCAAATCATAATATGCTCAACATTGTTAACCAATTAGCCATTATGAAAAAGAATTATTAATGGGATATTAATACTTTTAGCTACCAAATGATTTTAAAGGCAGAAAGATGCAGAAAAAAGTCTTGAAAACTGAAACACAGCATTACCGTACATAAGAATGACATTTAATTAAAGACAACATTTACAATTCATGCCATGAATCATGGTGTGTG